TCATAGTCATCTGAAGAAACTAAAATACTTAATCCGCCACGGCACCAAGTAATTCAGAAAGTACTGGAGTTCTCAGGAACATTGGACCTTGAAAAATTGATATTTAGGCCGTGCTACATTTGCCCATTAGACCCTCTATAGTTCTCGTTGTTAAGGTTGTATGAAACGGCGAAGATATGAAGAAATACACATCCTCTAATAACCTCCAGGGAAATGAAAGAAGACGTAGAATTTTTGAATGGAAAGCCTTAAACAGTAATGTGAGACTACGTTATTATCCTAGCTGAAATCTTGAACGAGCTGTAGAAGTCGAACTAGCAGATTGCTATCGCCGTAATCTTCCATAAGTGAGCATAAATTCAAATATCTCGTAAACATCGCATATACATGGAGTTTAGACCAGTCTTGTTCATAGTGGTCAATAGGTGCATTGGTGTTAGATAATTAAACTCTTAAAGACAGAAATATTAACATAACAATAGTAGGACAATCACACAAAGTAATTAGCTATAAAAGCACCTGAACAATAGCAGGATGAGTTGGCGAAGATGACTTGACGAAGATTAACCACGACGAGTCAAGCAACTGTGAATAGTCTTGTGCGATTAGGTACATAATTAACTCAAGGAAACGACAGTTAACAGTTATCATTGATAAAACATCATGAATTGCAAACCAAAAATGAGATGTTCGAACGACATCGTCTCGCCGTGCTCATGAATATGCAGCGATAAATCAATAACGGTCTTCAGATGACGCCCAAGGGGTGGGCGACGCTACTGAGCAGGACAGCATTAGAGAGATCAATCCAGAAGGAGGTTCCAGAGTGGGCGGAGCTTGCACACACCTATCCCAGCAAGGCTCGTCAACTGTAATCGATACGTGCGCGATCAAGGGGAACATGCAGCGAGATTGATTTCGTAGTACAGAGGATGAGAACGGTGAGTGTGAAAATATAGAAGAGGAACAAAGGCAACACTTGGTCATATTAAGGATCACCTGTATCAACTGCAGGCCCGTTGATCGCCGAGTAACTCGAGCGGGCGTCAGTAAATTTTCCACTTTTCACTGTCGCGCGCAAGAGTAGCCCAGTTCGTTCTGCTCGCTCTAGGGACTCGTCGGGCATCATATCTTTCTTCCAGGCTCTTCGTGAAGAACTGTGACCATCGAGTTGGTGGTTTTCCTGCAATGCGTTTAACATCTCGAGGAATCCAGTCACTAACGGCTCTTGTCCATCGGTTGTCACTCATACGCATTATGTGTCCGGCCCACTCTATCTTCGACTGTTTGGCGTACAGAACGGCATCTTTGACTTTCAATCGTTGATGCATGTAGGAGTTTTGAATCCCTTCCCTTAATTGTGTGACACAGGATACTCCTAGTATCGTCCTTTCGACCACGCGTTCAATAACCCTGACTGATTCCTCATCCCGCTTACGCAGCGACCAGGTTTCTGAGGCATACGTTAGAGCAGGAAGCACCGTTGAGTCGAAAAGGTGGGCACGACGTCGGGTGCTCTTTGCTCTCTTCACTACATCCTTGATGCTCTTGAAAGCTCCCCAAGCCGCTCGTTTCCTTCTGTTCAACTCTGGAGCCAAGTCGTTCAACATGCTGATTTGCCAACCTGGATAGACATAGCTGGAGCATTCGGAGATATTCGTTCCATTAAGGGTGAATGGGGCATACGAAACCAATCGGTTCCTCATGAACATTGTTTTCCTGAGATTTAGTCGAAGACTAACCTTTCCACAAGCTTTATCAAAGTGGGCAACCATATGTTCCGCTTGGCTAATGTTTGGTGTATAAGGTTATAAGGACGATGTCTTCAGCAAAGCGAAGGTGGTGTAATTGCCGACCATCGATTTTCACTCCCATGTTGTCCCATTCCAATGTTCGCATGACGTTCTGGAGGGTGGCGGTAAATAATTTTGGCGATATGGTACCGCCTTGCCTAACCCCTCTTTTGACGTCAATGTTAATATCGTTGTAGAATGCTGACATCTGATTGTGAAATTTTTGTACAGCTCACTAAGAATCTTTATGCTCTGAGTAGGGACTCCTTGACTATCAAGGGCTTCCATGACTGCTTCTATCTCAATTGAGTCAAAGGCCATCTTTAGATAGATGAAAGTGAGACAGAGCGGTCCATTGCACTTCCGCAATACTTCAATAGGTCTTATTATTGTGTGGATGTGGTCAATCGTTCTAAATCCTCTTCGAAATCCTGCTTGCCCACATGGCTGTCCTTCATTTAGTGTTCTGCCAATCCTCTTTAAGATTAGGATTACTCAAGTGAAAGTTTGTGGACTACAGCCAGCAAGCAGTTTCGGCGATAGTTGCCGATATTGTGTAGGTCACCTTGTCACCCTTCTTGAACAATAACGCGGTCCTGCTGGTCTTCCACTGAGTAGGGACCTTGCATTCAAACAGGTAACGAAGAGCTGAGCCAGTGTGCTTAAGAGGACTGGCGGAAGGTTCTTCAGGTGTTGTGATCTTATCCCGTCTGGACCTGGTGCAGTTCGATTTTTCACCAACGAAATGGAATATCAGATTTTGAAAGGAAGAACTGGTGGTACGACATATCCGTCCACCCTTTTTTCATATGACGGAAGGTGGGCATGGCCATCGAAGAGTAGTATTCGTGAACGATTTTCTCCAATGCCATTCTGGACTCTGTAACTGTTCCGCCTGGGCGTCGGAGTCCAATCATCTTGGTCTTGTAATTGGCGAAGCATCGATGGGATTTGCAAATGCTTTTCCAAGCCTCTACAGCTTCGACCATTACTAATATTCTTTTCTCTTTGAGATCTTCTTTTATCTTCTATCTGCATTGCTTTGCAGGTTCGGGCGTTAGTTCGCGGTTGCCTTCAACTCGAACGATTCCTCGCTAGCGTATCAGCTCGAGTGTCTCTGAAGACAGACGTCCCTTAGTGGCTTTCGAACTCTCAACTTTCATAGCACTAACATGAAACTGTTCAATGAGCCGTTCGTATTCTTCGTCGTTGTTATCGACAACGGCATCTTCACAACAGCCGACTAATGGATTGAATAAATCCCAATTTACGGTGGTTCTGGGACCTCGGTTTTGGAATTTAGCGGCTTTTTCTCCTTTCCGTGAGAAATAGAATCTTGCACAAAGGAGGCGATGGTCTGACCTCGTGTAGAGTTTTTGGACAACGGCGACTTCGGTTAGGCAAAACCTTCTGTTTACTATGATGTAATTTATTCCGTTATGGTGCCCTGCAATGGTGCTCACATTCAGCGTTGAGGGTGGGGCTTCTGGAATTTCGACTTACCATGGATTGTCTGGGTCGCCATGATAAACTTGGTTAGCCGCTCACCCTCTTTGTTCTATTCTAATCAGTGGGTCCCAAGGTGACGGTCTTCAGACGTTCTTCTTGTTCCAGTCTTGGCGTTAAAATCTCCATTGATAACCTTGAGGAATATATGGTCTTCTCTGTAGGACTTCTCCAAGTCCATATAGAACGCTTCGACTTCTTCTTCCTCGTATTTTGATATCGGCGCGTAAGCGACGAAGATTGTCAAAGCCGGTATTGATCCACAGCTTCTTAATCGTAAACGTCCGATTCGGGCTGTTAGTTGTTCGAATGAATCGTTGTTCATGGACGAACTCGTGTTTACGAAAACGTCGACGCCACTAACTCATCTACTGCATCCTCCGAGAAGCAGCTCTTCTCCGGTGTCATAGACGGCGTTGAATGGGTGGCGTCGTCTTGTACGGCCAGGCCGATGACGTCGTACCTTATCCTTCTTGCTTGCATGAGCAATTCCTCTATCCAAGACTCGGATTCAAGTGTACGTGCATTGTAGGCACAGATCGTCACCATAGTTCTTTGCGATCTGGGCAGGTTCCACTGGCCTTGAGATTTTAAAAGCTTTTCCGTACTCGTCCTGCCCAACGCTGCCGAATTGGGGACTTTTTCGGGTCAGAGGAGTAAGGCCCGTTCCTTTCACCGCTTTTAGCTTCTTGATACCTACGTATAGCCTACTGGGCTCTGAACGTGAGAGCTGGATATTCCCACAGGAAGTATATATATATATATATATATACATATACATATACGTATATACATACGTGTGCACGTATACTTAAATACTTGGATGGCGTGTCTTTACCGATTGTGTGGGAACCATCGTAATTTTTATTCGTTTTTCTCTTTCGCAATCGTCGCCCATGGTAGTGATCTGCTTCGACGACGGTGATGGCCAGGAGGTCCATTCCGTAATCCTGAAATCGTTCCCATCTGAGAGTGTAGATATTTGTTATTAACCACGAATAGGCCTGCCCATGGTTTCGGTCCTCTTCCAAGACGACTCTTGCATTTTCTTGGATCCTCTCCCACTTTTCTTTTCGTTCATCTGTCATCTGTTCCACCTATTATGTGACTAACCCATATGTATTTCGCTATCAATGTATATTTTCCTCGATCGCAAAGATGGAATTGCTTTTTTCAGAAGTCAATGTTCAAGCGTTATGTGGGTGGTGCACAAATTTCTTGACGTGGTTGAAATAAAAGGTTACGGCTCTGCTGCATTACAGAGAGCTGAAGAAATGCTGAGTTGAAAAAGTGAGAACGGTGTTTTGGATCCGTTAGTCGGTGGCTTCTTTGGTTGGCCCGAATGCAACTCTTGCTGCTCTTTTTTTTCTATCTGATTCCTTCTTCATGTTGTTGTTCGTTATCGTCGAATGTCTAAGGTACACGCATGAAGTACATGTAAGTATGACTTCTGTAATAAGAGAATCATTCAATCAGATTTGTTCACTTTAGTACCATGGCTTATTCGTGAGCTGTGTTTTCTTTTGATTTATGTGCGGTTTCAACATCCTCCTGCTTCAAGGGAAAGAAAGACAGGTTCACGATCCGGTGATATTACAGCCAACTTGCTTCGAAGCGGAAGCTACAAGTTACATATAATTCTCGCATCTTAAATGATGTTTTACCCTTCGAAAAGGAAAACCTACAGACCAGTGGAAGATTTCACGCATGGTCATCTAGCTCAAGAGGAGTGCCAGTAGGAGCACTTATAACCAATCGATTGGGAATGCGGCCTACCGCTTGCTTGACATTTGTCGATGACGATTTATGGTTTGGCATAGTCGAAACGAGTTCAATCCTATCCGTGCTGGACGACCAAACAGTGGACCCATCCTGAACAAGAACATTAGCTGACTACTATCGCAAGTGTAACACGAAAATACAGCTTTTCTATCGACCTCTTACCGTACTCATAGAAAAATGGGTTTGGAAAAGTCGCACTAATAACTCAAAAGATTGACTTTCTATAAAACTCGGCGTAATAATCGTTGTTTCTGTATATATGTTCCTATGAACTGCCATTTTTTAGATGACGAAAGGTTGCTATAAAACATTAGCTGACTAGCTGATCTTCTTATTGTTGTTTTTGTCATTGTTCAATAGCTGACGTTTCGGTGACATCGCTTTCATCAGATCTTGCACGTATTGTATACCACAGTAGCCCCACATTTCGGTGAACTACATAGTATTAATGAAGATCCAGCAAATGAAAAGGCTCTAGCTTTCAAAAGCCACCTCCTGTGCCTTTGGATCACCCGTGTGTTGCCACGAGGGATGGTGAGAACCACCCATGGATACGTACATCAAAAAATCATTCCGGAAAAAGGCACCATATCACATGTGATAGTGACGCATTCGTCTTCCCGGTTTATCTTCGCGCTTTTGAAATTTATCCAGAACGCCTCCAGAGCTTTGCGTGTTGATATTTTAGATTCTTGCGCAGGGATCCGGATATTCGCATCAAAAACTTCACTATTGTGCTTTTGTGCTCTATGTTTACCCAGAGGAGTATTTTGTTGAATTCTAACTTCTCCACTTTCCACATAGGTGTTCTTGTATGCGGACATAAGACAGTCTACCCATTTCCCCTATGTATTCATCACTGCATGACTTACATATCATTACGTATATTGTAACTGAACTCTTGCGATCCCCGTCTCCTTTGTTAGGGCAGATCATACAGTTTTCTGAGGTGCGCCAACGATCACAGAGGCGATTGCAGAGTAATTGACGGCATAGCATATTGTGTGGAAGGTCAATAATCGCCGCATAATTTTCAAGAACACTTTTTCTTAGGTACTTCTTAATGACATAAATTATTTAGTTTGAAATAAAGGCTGGCTTAAAAGGATCTTACTTAGGTTCGCAATGTTATTTTAGGGAATCGTTCTACTTTTTTATCTGACCCGAGCGGCTTCCGCTTCGCAGCCTTTGGTAACGCCTATTTTTTGTGCCAAGTTTAGCGACTCCTTCCTTTCCACTTTTCCTGTGCGGATATTTTTAGTAGTTCGGTACATGTGTTTGATGAGTGCTTTTTTCATGTGTGAAGGATAAGAGGTAGTGCACTAGTATATTTTTACTACTTGGTTTTCGATAACATTTTGTCATGTAGCCGCTTTCTAAAGGCTTCATTTGGATGTTTAGGAATAGAAGCCACTCTTCGGTTGGTTTTTCTCGTGTAAATTTTATGTACTCCGACTGTCCGATTAACAATTCAAAGCATTTGTCCGTCCGTTCTTGTGTGGAACAGACGATGAAGCAGTCGTCTATGTATCGACAGTGAAGTTAGGGTCGACGATCGAGAATGGGAACTTCCATCTTTTTCTTTTGTTCCCTTTCCGACCACGCACTGGTAGCTGTTTGAAATATCTTTCTCACAAAAACTCCTTTTATGTATGAGAAATGAGAAGATGTTGAAGAGACCAGAATTTGTTTTTGACTTTCATGACCACTTGATTATGCAGCCGTTTTCGCATAGGTTAATTTAGATGTTTAAAAATGGAAGCCATTATTTCTTCGGTTTCTTCTGGGTGAAATTTATGCATTCTGACTGTTGGTTTAACAATTCACAAGATATCTCCCTCTCCTCTTCTGTTCAGCAGATGACAAAACAGTCGTGAATATTACTACAGAAGAGTCATGCCCGGCGACCGAGTGCAGAGTCTTCAACTTTAGAGTTTAACGCAGTGCCAAGGCCTGATGTCGGTAGCCGTTCTATTGCTAGTCCTCTCATTTATATGCAACATTTTCCAGACCATCCGAAATTGGAGCCGTTTAGGCACTCCTTTAAGAGAGTCATGATCTTCTGAATGCAGAAGCCGTACGTATTCGTTACTTCTTCGTCTAGCACAAGGAGTTCGAGAATGCCTAGTATTGTGGAGCTTTTCCACACATTTGTATGAAGGACGGTAACGTCTGAGGACCATCACGTACGCGTTGTTACAATGCCCTTTATGTAGAGGATCCAGCAACTTTTGGATATTTGCATGATGGGTTAGCATGTATTTCAGCAACTGGTTTAAAAATTGGCCTAACAAACCAAACTAGTATCTCCGCGTAGGCAACTCAAAAATTGATTTGTCGGTTGATTCCAGGTCTTTGGTTGATGCAAACAAACATTTATGTTTTGTGAGTAAATATAGAACGTAATAAAGAACGGTTGTTAATCACCCGTGTAGGACTCTGTGAGGCAAGTCACCACTAGATGACTGGGACCCTTACAAAGAACCAAACGGCGATTGTTTGAAAGGAGCTGTTTGTCTTGCAAACGCAAATTTATGGATCAACTATTATTTGCTGAGGTTACCAAAGTGTTTGGATCAATGAATCGCGTGTTAGTTAGATCTTCCTAGGCTCTGAAGTAGGCGAAAGCGCCAAGATCTCCGTTATTGTGAATGAATAAATGCTATAATTGCAACCCCTTGTTTGGCTATCAAGAAGACAGTGTATTATGAGGAGAGATATCGTGGCAGTATTTGGACATGTAAGAAGAAGCGCGTTATAGTTTTTTTAACGGTTTTAATGACGATGAACATAGGTGTTAACGTAAGATTTATGGTGTTCTTGAGGGCTTCAATGTGGTCTGAACAACTTGTAGAGAACAAAAGGCATAGCAAGCACATCCGGTCATAATTATTTGTGCTATTGTTGTGAATAAGAGCAGTACTTATCTGATGGATAACCCAACATTATTACCATCATACACTATTCTTATTTAAACTTCAAATCGATCCTTTGTACAGAAGAGTTAAAAGACAAACTTCTCAGCGCTCCGTGTTTCGATAAAACTCGCTTAAATCAACTTTGACATAGTATTTAGGGTTCTCATCTTTAACTCTATCGAACAAACCAGTGTTTTTTGACCAACTTTATGACTCGAAAGCATTACTCAATAACACAGTACGAAGCACCAACAGCTCATGAAGATGGAGACTACAACAACGGCGTCGTCTAATCCTGTTCACGTTTTCGGCACACACCCTGCCTACGTTTTGTGTGCGCGATGTGGGCAGAAAGCGACCGTTTATCCTAGAATGAAAATTTCGAAGTATTTTCCCGCCAAATTCTGCGAAACTAATTTTGGTTAACAACTTTTACAACCTTGAATTTCTTCCCACAATCAATACAAATGCACTTCATATCCTCGTCACTCAAATGTATTTTCTTGTGTTTCATTAAAGTAATGCGATTTTTCAGCTGTTTGAAACACACATCGCAATTTAGTTGACCTTCGGAATGTATCTAGAAAGATCAAAGAAATGACAGTTGAAATAGAACAAATCTAGTGAATAAAGCTAAATGAATAAGCTTATAAAAAACATTTTGAAGCACCTTCAAATTGTGAACATAGAGACGTTTAGTAGAAGTGAAATCGATTTTACACTGGTAACAAATCGTATTCTTGTAATCATCTCTTCTGGCAGCCGCATTCGTTGCATCAATCTAGGCGAAATTATGTTCAAAACAGTACCCAGGATCCTAGTCCAGCCACACTGAAGTTGGCTCCCAGTTTTGCCGTTTCGGTCCTTTTCATGCATTCTGTAGGTTGGTAACGGTGACACTTTTCAACAGTATTCTAGGTTTTCAGTCTTTCTTCTAGTTATCATCCAGTCCTCCTTGTAAGCTCAGAGGAATAGATGGTTCGCCATATGTGTAGTTCACGCTTCAGGAATTCTAAAACTTTTGTGACGAGGTCTAATTTGCGCTTGATGGAGCACGGAAACACATCATTTTTTCTAACACGCAAAATGCATTTAATTCAATGCATAGGGCCCAAAAGTACACTCCAGAACGACCCGTTTCTATTTCATGTTTCTCGTTTTGTAATTCGGCCTTTCTGCACTATCTTTAAATAAATTTCATGCCTTTTGTTTCCAAATATTTTTTTTGCTTTGATGAATGCACCCATTTTGCAACGACTCCCTACTTTGTGTTTAGTCAAACAAAATCATTCGACATTTAGCAACGGTGCTATCGTTTTAGGCGATCGATTTAGCATTATATGTGCGGCACAGTTCGCTAGTTCTTAGTGTCTTTTTGCATGTTTTTCCTTCATTTGATAACTGCGATTCTCAAGGGCCATTTGAAAGGAAAAGTTGTCTGCTGCTGATGGTCAGGAATAGAGCACTACAGGCCAATTATGTGATGCGTACGGAAAACGAACTGAATTCCATTTTTGACGGGCTCCTTATAGAGACTGAAAGAAGTTTGAAGACAATAAGAACAATAAAGAATCTTCTCTGCTCCCATGGAAGAAAAATCTGAAGAAGATGAAACCGAAATTAAAGACGAAGATGATGCGATGAGTGGGCGAACAGTTTAACACCGCTGAAACATGACAAAACTTCTTGTGTCTACAAATTACCAGAAGGTGTCGTAGCCTCTACAAGGCAGAGCGAAACCTTCAAATAGTATGCACGTTTTTCCTCCTTATCGGTATAGGCCTCTATTTCTCTTATCCACACACAACGCAACACGTGTCCTTCCTCTATCCACTCAGAGTATTTGGTAAGTACAAGCAGGATCTATCGCCACTATATGCAGAAAAATTTGATGACTGTTCACCAGATTGCCGAAATATCCTTTAAATGGGTACTAATTTCACGATGCTGACTAAGTAGATGCTGAAAAAGAAAGAGCTCGAGTGCTAGAACTGAAGACGGCGTGTTTTCTGTGATAAAAAGTTATCGCAACATAACGACTCCAGATACCTTACCAAACGTGCCAATTCGTACAAAATCTTTCAATAGTTGCTACAGCTCGTTGCACAATGAATTGCATATGAAGAAGGTCGATTGTAAGTGAAAGCTTTGGAAATTTATTTTTACAAATGCTAATCTTTAAAAACGAACTCTTCCCAGATCTCGTCTTTATTTTGTAGTAGGGAATGTGTCAATGTAATACAGAATATATTTCAGAAAGTGTCCGATCGCGAAACAAATCTACGATATCCAACGCGTCGAAGTTGTCAGGATAACACGGTAGACATAGTAGAGGGCTGTTTTGCGTCGTACAATAAGCAGTAGCAAAAAATACGCCAAAATCAACGCGCATATCCCAAAATACCTCATTAAGCTACCATTGTAATCAATGCGCAACATCGCAGCTAAAACTTCACAAGATGGACAATCACTTTAAAATCCGCACCATCTAGCGAAGGGTTTTGCTTCCCATTTAGCAGGCTTTTATGTAGTTCAATATATCTCAGTTTGAAGATGTGAACGGAAATGACGCCGTTGAGCTCACATCAAAGGTTCCAGCTTCAGCTATACGCTGCAGCAAATTCTGTTTAATTTTGCTGTAATTGGATTTCTTTTCTTCTGTTGTTGAGTGTGGTGGAAGCAGATCCGTTGTTTGCGCTTTTGCTGATTCCGCGACCTAAAAGCTACTGATTTAGAGTGCACACAGTTATCAAACTGGGCTGAAATAAATCACTTATCTTGGCTAAATATGTGTTTGTAATGATTAGATATAAGAAGAAAATAAAGTTAGACGTGGCGTAAACGTTTCATCTTAATTTCCATTGCAAAAATGAATTTGAAAACAAAGAGTAAAACGAATTTGTTCTCGAAGAAAATTTCGATTATTACTGATGGAGACAATTGTAATCGGAGAAGAATGGCTGACTATGCCATATTACACCGTACAGCATCGTATAAAACTCTTAACAAATTCAATAAAAGATCAATGACATTTACGATCTTTCAAATGGCTATGAGTTCCGCATTTTCGTCGCACTAAGCACCAGCTTCAAACTCTCAGATGTGAAAGGGTAATATCGAGTGAAAAAAATGATACCGAGAAAGCTTTAAATTTTTAAAGAAATTATAGAATTTCAGCAATTTTGTGGGTTTGTCAAATTGAATTCGGAAAGAAACGGCTTCCTTACCACACATGACGGTTTCGCTTGCAATGTCGTCTCTGTATAATTCGTCCAATCTACTGCTTCTCCTAAAAGTCGAAGGTTAGAGGACTTCACGATGATCGAGTGTCGACGTGACGGTATTTCAGGCCACTTTTTCATGAATTTCTCGCTGCACACAAAAGTTAAGTAAAAGTAGGGAGATCCTATGGTGAATCAATAACCTTTCCATTTTAGTGAGCTTAAGTGCTCTTATCTCTTAACATGTCACCAAGCAAAATCACATTAAATAGCATACGTCGCAGATGACGACATGAAGTCACTTTCATGACTTCACACGTCCACATTCTGTGGTGTTCAAAAAGCATGTACCACATTCTCAGTCCTCCTTAGCTGTGGGTAAATAATATTTTCGAGTTCGCTACATGAAATGTACTAAACCGGATGATTGCAAAGAAAGAAATAAAGTTACAATGCAGTGATAGGCTATGTCATCTGTAAAATCTTACCATTAAGCTCTCTTTCTAGGTCGTAAGCAGCGCGATATGTCTCGTGAACAAAATCATTGTTTATAGCAGACGAGCTCTTAAAAATGTTAACCGATCAGATAAGCTACTTAATATATTTATTACTTGCTGACTTACTTGGACACTTAGATGGCCCGTCTACAGTGGTTGTGCGGACCCCAGCATAATCTCCATTCTTCTGGAGTCTTGCTGGTTTACCCATTGCTGTTCCCTGGAGTCCCGAGGTCAACCAGGCCTGAGTCTGCCCTAGCTCATCTCCACCAGTGGCTGTCGCCGTCCTCGTGGATCAGAGGGAGATTTGCAACCATGTGATTAGATTGGTACTATGACGGATCCTGGTATTGGTTTACTGTTAGCTAGGCTTCCTGATGGAAGTGCCTGAGCTCTTCTCAGCTTGAGAGGCCCTGAGGGAATGATTCTCCCGGTTATATATAGCAGCCCGACACTCAGAAATCCTCCCAGCCACGATGAGGCGGTAAACGGTTAGGAGGAATATAGTTATTACTATAGATAATACATATCCGTTTAAGGCAAAGATAACAAAAAACAAAAACTAAGTAACACATAAAATTTGCCTCAACATCTTGTTTTTCCTTGCCTGCATGAATGCTAGCTAATTCGCGTTCCATCTGCATCACATCTTCTGGGTCATACTCCGATAGAGATGAATTGTGTATCTCGTTCAAATCTGTCAACAGCAAAATGTGTACAAAGGAAAGAAGTAGGCAGTGTACCTCATCATAGGTATACATTTGTAGGTTACGAAGGATGAATACGAATTCCACTTACAAGATTTCCGAGAGGTGTTAGATTCTCTGGCAACGTCGTTGTCGAGGTGTGAGTTTGCTGTACATGCATTTGAATTGTCACCGTTGACAAGCCCCTAAATACCGTATGAGGTTGTCTTCATGATATTTGATACCTGAACGGTCTGTCATCACTAGTTGTGCGGGCTCCAGCATAATCTCCACTTTTCGGAGATTTGCTGGTTAAGCCATTGTAGTTCCCTGGAATCCTGAGGAAAACCTGGCCAAAGTCTGCCCCAGATTTGTCTTCACACAAATATTGTGCTGCATTGATGTTGAACGGAACGTGGAATGCACACACCCACATTTTATCGTAACTGTTAGAGCAAAAGCCAGTGGACAATTTTTATTTTAGTCCTACTCTTTTCTCAAGACTCAAAAACGGCAAGTGTCCGCCGAAAGGATCGAACACGCCACTACCCTTTCCGGAGGATATCGCGTTCGCCACCCCACCATACAGGTCCTTAAGTTCATCTTTCTCTGGGCATTGTTTTATAGGTGCTATCAGCAATAACTCGTTAACAGGATTGCTCTGGGGAGCACAAATCGGCATTAAACCCAGTTAAGCAGAAGGAGCGCGTGTGTCGCGATGGTGGGAGGCGCCACTGCGACACATACGTGGAATCGACCCACGAGCCCATGGCTCACCAAGCCTGCCGTCCCTCCAGGGTTGGCAAATTGGTGCCAGATTTGTCTGGGAAGATAGCAACCTTAGCCCGATACATCGGAAGGCCATCGTGAGTCATTATGAAGGCCAGATATGCATTCAATCACTTTCAAGGACACTTAATGAAGTCGTATGCATGGCCCATTCCTCAGAGATTGATCAACGCCGAAAGCTTTATCTTTCATTTATTTAAGCTGAAGGTTTACTATAGATCACAATGTAATCACTTTCTATTTCCTGTCTGTTCTTTTTTCATGGCAAGGTGCGACGTGAATGGGCAGTAAATAAAAAGTGATTACTTCGTGATTTATACTACAGATCCAGCTTAGCTGGGTTCAATGCCAATTTTTGCTCCGCAGATCAATCCCATTGACGGAATTGCTGATAGCACCTATAAAACACGGCTGCGAGAATGATGAACGTAAGGACCAGCATAGTGTGATGGTGAACACGTTAGCCCCCAGACAGTGTGACAGAGTGTTCGATCTCTACTGCAAACGCGTTCTGTCTAGAGTTTTGCAAACATCTGCAAAATATAACTTGTATAATGCTGGGATATTTGCAAAACTTCGCACCGCAGGTGTCTGTGGTGGGGAACGAACGCGCTATTGTCATTTCCAGGGAGTAACGCGTTCACCACCACATCATGCGGGTCCTTCGTTTCGCCTGTATCTCAGCAAAAGTTAGTTTCTGATTGCTCGAACGAAAAGACCTCCAAATTTCGGAATAGCAAAAAGTCACATATCTCCTGCAGACAAAGTGCTCAGCATAAATTAACTTAGAGAAGGGCCTCTTCTTCGAGATCTAATTTGAAAAAAAAAGTGAAAAAGTAGTAAGTCGTCCAATCAAGCCGTAAATAGAAGATGCGATTTCTTCCTGTAAAACATGATAGGGATAACTGGACAAAACTCTCAAATCATCAATCCTAGGTGATAACGGATGGGCCCTGTACCCATTACAACAGGAGCTGCCCATGTATGCGATTACTACTGAATATATTAGGCCGTCGAGAAATAAATGAGCGTTTTTAACCATGTCATTTGAAATGTCATAACTTATTTCAAACATAACTTTACTGATCAAAATAAGAAAACCATTCGAATTTAGATATATTTTCCAAAAAATACAAATTTGCTTATTTTAAGTTCATAGAAATTCTGGAGTTCTGGAAGTGACGAATTAGTTGAAGGCATGCTTGCGTCATCATCATTGGGAAAGCATTTATCGTGCAAAAAGCTGTCAACGTGCTTGAAGAAGTGACGGTGGCTAAGCGAGAGAGAGAGAGAGAGAAAATTTTGAATATGTATGGCGGATGAGGCAAAGTTTCGTAGCCCAACTTGTTCAATTTCTGCAGCGCTGGTTCCGCAACGTGTGGCCGGACGTTATCGTGAAGAAGGATTGGTCTTTTTCTGTCGATTAATGACGGTCTTTGTTGTTGGAGTTTACGATGCATTTCGTCGATTTGTTGGCAATACTTCTCTGTCGTTAACGTTTCGCCTGGATTCAAAAAGCTGTGATGAATCAGCTCGGCTGCAGACCACCGAGCAGTCACAGTAGCCTTTATTTTGTGCAATTTCGGCTTTGGAAAGTACATGGAGCTTGATCGCCATCAACCATTGGGCTGAACACCGGCTGTCGTACAGAATCCACTTCTCGTCGCGCATCACAATCCGATCAAGAAAAGGATCGTTCATGTCTCGCAGAATAAGAGTAGGAAAGACGACATTTCAAAACAATGATTTTTTATTATCGTTTAATTTATGCGGCACCCAACTGCCGAGTTTTTCTTTGCCTTTCCTATGCGATTCAAGTGAGTGGAAATTGTTCCTGTGCTTAGCGAACCTGTGCAAGCCCTCAAACAGTTGGTCGCCTGTTTTCTTCCATTCGTGCAACATCGTCGCCAAGTCCACTGGAACGTCCGCAGTCTTCCTTATATTCGAGGTCGAAATCACGAAATAGAAATTTCGTGGACCACTTTTTCACTGTTGATTCACCAGCACTATCTTCACCTTCTAATGTTTCGAGCCGTCTCAGCTGGACTGCGACAGAGTTTAGACACATAAAAGAAAATTTGGCGAAAATCCGTTTTTGTCATCTAAAATTGCAAAGCTCAAAATCGGCAAAAAGGCAGACTTTTGACGTGGTGAAAAAATTAGAATTATCCTTTTAATAATGTGTAATAGTTTAAGGTACAAAAAAAAATTTTATTGATAAAAATACATTAAAAGTGAAAAATACTTTAAAACGCTCATTTGTTTCAGAACAACCTAATATTTCTCGACCAAATTTTTTATCGAAATAACCCTTTTGTGCTCGGAAACAGGCAAAAGCTGTTAAACGAGTGGATTCAAGTAGATGCTGTTGAATGGCTTTATGAGGATAGTTCATATAACCACTAACTTGTCTAATTTATCGCGCATTAATAAAGTTAGGAACTTTAGTCAGATTTTGTTTGAACATAACCAATGAGTACGTGTCGTATCTATTAATTTGCTTAAGTAAAAAGTAAGAAGTTTTATCAATTTTCCTGATTCAACTTAAGAAAAGAAATCTCTGGTTCCACTACGTGTCTGCGTAGGTGGAACTGGTATATCAAGACGAAATTTTGCAGAAAAAGTAATGAAACGCAGACGCTGATGCAATTTTCAAGAGTTTTTGTTTTCTTCTAAAGAATAGAAGGTTGCAAATGCTAATATTCTTTATAATACATATATGAATTTACCAAATACCTTTCAAATACTAAAGAAGACCATTAGTGGCACCCACTTATAACGACGATAACGTTGCTTTGAGAAGAAATGACTGATGTTCCTTGATATTTCGTTATATGTTACAACTATCATCCCCGTCGTCAAGTTGCCGTCTTCAGCGTTCAACTGTGTTGTCTTGTGAGTAAATTGTAGACCGTTCTACAGAGTTGCCATTTTTATCACCAGCATGGTCGGCTTAAGGTTAAGCAGAAGTTCTCCACGTTTATCGTCGATTCAGGTAAGAATGGCACAACACGGTTATCTCTACATTCCAGTATGGATCGATTCGAGCCGCATTCGACAACATTTGTGACAAAGACAAAGAAATCCTCAAGCAGCAGTGCACAGGCAGAGCGTTTGAAGACTTTCGTGGGTGGTGAATTTGAGGAAAGGCATCGAATGTCGTAAGAGC